CAAAAAGGCACGTGAATAAAATCTTTAAATTCCATAAATTTCTTAAACATTTTAGCACCAATACTAAATAAAAAAATGTTTAAAAATGTTTTCATTCATTCATTCATTGATATTTTTTCCTGTATATTTTATATTAATGTGCATTAAACTTTGTATAGTAAATGCGAGGCAAACAGAATGCAGTACAAACACACACAAACACATACAGGTTAAAGGTATAAAGGAAAATTGTTTCCTACTGTATTTTAAGGCAGTTTTCCTGACTCCTCATTAGCTTAAATGGAAACTACATTTGTGTTAATAGTCTCGTGCGATATCGTGGGAGACCCACGTAAGATGATGTGTTGCTCGAGTTTGTGCAAAAAGGGAGGAATTTATTCTTTTTAAACCGATTTTTAGGGTCCTGTTCGAATCTTGCAAGCCTGCTGTTTTACACTGAAAGGTCCCACCTGGAAGTGGCTCATTCACTGGAGTGAGATCGGCCGGACTGAGGCGAGGCCCCTTCTCGCCATTCTACTCCGCTGTGCGAAAACCAACGTTACATCCCGGACTGCACAACATCTGGACAGCTGCAACAGTGATCGGGTGACGCACATCTGGTGGGAGAGAAGGCACAGTGATGCTCGGCATTACAGAAATGACAAACGGGTGAGCGATTTGTTAAAAAGTTTTATTTTTTCTAAAAAAGAGAGAAATTGGTCTGAAAAGTTGACAGTCCGCTATCCTCTGTTCTTTTGTGGAGTGAAAAACTGCAGTTTAGTCATTTATAAGTCATCCAAGGCGGTTGGACCTTTTTAAATACACAATATACTCCAGAGGCAATTCTCTAAAATAGACGTAATAGTAAAGATAATTAGTAACACAGTCATATTTATTGTATTGCATCTTTAGAACAACTTAAGCTCCTCTTTAGCGCCTCCTACCTAGTTACTTTCACTGTGGAAAAGGGTAACGTAGTTTTTATAACATATGATTAGAAGTAAAACACGTCCAGCTATCACATGGAAAATGATACGTAATCAGAAGTGGGTTTGGTTTAAGAAACCTCTGTTTAAATAGCTGTTTAATCTGTTTGGTCTGTTGCTCTGTGTGGCCAACGACATGGTCTGGAGGTTTGAAAATGATGTTACCTTATGTTTGAATATTTTTAATAATTGCAACAAATTTTCTAAAGAGCACTACTGTTTTTTTAACGACTTTAATTTTTCAATGTTATCCAAGTTTTCCATTTTGCACTGTTAAAGATGTAGTGTTTATATGACGGTGCAGAATTTAGGCCACAAAATCTGGAGTTTTTAGTCTTGCACCAAATGAAAATCTCCAAGCCTGATTTTTAACAAGCTTTTATTTGAAAATTTGGGTTTATATTTAATACATTTTTGTTGACCTGGTACTCATGTGTGCAAGTCATTGATGCATGCCCTTCTCACACAGAAAACAGACCTGTGGGTTTTTCCAAAAGCACAAAACCATGAGAATATTTTTCTCTAAAGGAAGGCAATATATATTTTTGTGAATGTTTTCTTTCTTTCTTTTTAAAAAAACAAAAAAAAAAACAAAAACGGAGGAGGATGTTCCTCTTCTCTGTGACCTCCACCCTGCCCTGGAATGTTCATATAAAGAAACTGGACAGTACTGCTTTCTAAATCACTTCCTGGCTAAACAGTCCCTGTGGGACTGCTGTTCAGAGCAGTAGTTTCTCCAAACAGCATGAATGCTTCTGCAGAATTAATTATGGGTTAGGATGAATATGGCTTTTATAAAGCACTAAAAGCTCTAAGATGACTAGCCCTTCTAAAAGCCTGAGGATTGCTGCATTCCCATTGCATTACATTTTTATCTGATCCCACATTCTGTTGATACAACCAGAGCTTAGACCAGCGTCTCGGTCTCCAGTGTGGACTTGTCCTTGTTTGGAAGCAGTCAAGTTGTGTGATGGTGGATTTAACTGTGTGGGCGATTATTCATACTGTGCTCAATCACTCTGAAATGCAGGAGTTATTTAAACAATTCAGGTTTTAAAAGAAGAAAGTTCTGTATTTTTCTTTCCTCCGACACAGTTCCTTCTTATATATTTGATGATTAATTGTTGGAAAAATCTCCATGCACCATTAAGTAATTTATTGAGTCAGCTTTCTGTAATTGTCTACACTGTTGCCTCACAGTGAGAACCTACCTCTTACCGCTCATTAAAAAGTATTTATAGTCATGGGAAAAAACCAAGTACACCCCATGTTTCAGTAGCTTGTAGAGCCACATTTAGCAGCAATAAGTCAAATGAATTGTTCTCTGTATGACTTTATCTGTCTGTCAGATCATTGTGGAGGAATTTGGCGTTGCTTCAGTTCATTGAGGTTCACGGGCATTTGTTTATGCACAGCTCACTTAAGGTCCCACCACAGGATTTCAACGCCTGGGCTGTTGCAGCATGAAGATTCATTTCTTTTTTGGCCTTTCTGTCATGGATTCGCTGCTGTGCTCAGGATTCCAGTTTTAGCTTTTGGACAGATGGCCTCACATTTGACTCTAGAATACTTTGGTTTACAGAGGAGTTCTTGGTCGACCCAGGTGCCAGATCACACACCCCTCCCTTCACACTATGCACGACAGTTGGTATGAGGTGTTTGGATTTTGCCAAAGGTGGAGCTGTGCATTATTGTCAAACGTCTTAACTTTGGATTCATGTCTTCCAGAAATCTTGTGGTTTGTGCAGATGCAGCGTTGCAAACCTAAGTTCGTGCCGCCACATTTTGTTTTGTTTGTTTTTCAGAGAGAGGAGGCTTTCTCCTGGAAACCCTTCCTAACAACACATACTTATTCATTCTTTAAATGAGGCCTGTAAAGTCTGAAGTGTAGCTCAGGGGGGGTTTGCAGTTTGTCTGAGCATTGTGCATTCTGGCATTGGGGTGAATTTGCTGGGACGTTCTATCATGGTAAGATTGTAGCATTGCCTTAACACACACCCGAATCCTCCAGAACAGCAAACTGACAAAACTTAAATGGAGCTTTTCTACTCAACTTGAGGACTGAAAACATGCCACATCCGTACAACTAATTTTTTTCTACACCTGATTGCTTTCTGTTTAACATTCACACTCCAATGGATGCACCGGAGAGCAGCTTGGGGTTCAGTATGTTGCCTGAGGATGCTTTGGCGCAGACAGGGATCAAACCACCAACCTCCAGATTACTACACCTGCTCTGGCCACCCACTGATGACAAGAAAACAACATAGTGTTAAAAGTGTCGGGACTGCTGTTTTTGATAAATAAAGTCAAAATAAAAAGAAGATGACTTTGTAACTGATGCAGCAGTTAGCCTCAGTCACAGTAATTAATCAAGGTAACGTCGCCACAGCAAGACTTTTTTCTTGGCTAATGACTAATTGCTACTAAAACATTAAAGGCAATGAGGTTGTGTTATTTTATCTAACAGAAGTCTTTGCATTTTCCTGTTGCTTTTTTAAATTATTATAAATGAGCAAAAATGTATATCACCCCCCCCCCAAAAAAAAAATTAAAAAAAACAATTTGTTTTTGTTTTTTTTTCCTTGGGGGCGCCAAAGTTCTTTCCTACAGGTAGAAACCATTCACGCCACCGTGCTGCTCTAAAGCACTATGGTTCCTCTTTGTAAGTACGCTGAAGGATTGTCTGCGGCTTTTATGAAACCCTGTTGATGTTTTTAGCCTCTGGTTTGCAACTAATTAAAGTGTTTGACAGGAAAAAGCACAGACTTCTGCCTTTAACTCTTTCCCCCATGAAGATCTGCAGAGGCAGAGACCACTCTCACTAACATCTGATGTACACTCAGTCATTTTGTTCTATAAGCAGGCCTGAAATTGGACAGAAGCTGCTCAGTTCCGAAGAGTGCTTGAAAGGTTACTCCTAGAAGGCTTTTAAGAGGTAAAGGGTTAATAAATGCTCCGCTCATGCCTGCTGTCATGTGCAGTCACCTCTCAAAGGCTCATTCAGAGCAAGAAAAACTCTTCTGTTAGTCAGCTGGGAGCCTGACCGATGCATGGGGAAGTATGGACCAACAGGATGTGTAATGATCGTACAGTAATTACAGAAGTTCCTCAGTGGTGTGTGTTTGTGTGTGGAAAAGATGGCCTTTAAATCGAGTGAGGCAGATGTAGCTATTATTAATCCTGCAGACAGAAGAAGAAGTAGCTACTTTTAGCTGCTTTGTTGTTTGTAGCCCACATGCTTGATTTGGCAGGTTTTTTTCTCATCCTGACACATCCCCAAAGGGATCTGTGTTTCCTCCTGGGATCAAACCGGGAATCTTTTGCTGCAATTGACTGCGAGCTAAAGATTCCCTACACGCCGTGCATGACTTGAGTTCCTCCTCCTTGATTATTTGTATCAAGATTAGCTTGTAATATGTTGTACTGAACATCAGGACTTTTAAAAATTATTATTTTAATGTGATATGCATTTTTGAAGATGTGAGAAAATATTTTTTTTCTCTCTCTCTGTATCCTGTGATAATGGTAGTGAATCTTTCCAAAGAATTTATGTATCCAGAGAGTTAATCTAAGTTGAATCAGGGAACTGAAAAACTGAACCAATCATATTGTTGGTAGAGATAAATGGGCGCTTGGTTATTTCAGCAGGGAGATATTTAGCAATCTCTTTTGTCTCATCACAGTGAAACAGCCTGTTGTTAGACATATCATATTCACTATGATGAATCCCTCACACACACACAATATAACATGAGCTCAGCCTGTGGTTTACCCTCTTGATTAAAACTGAGAGAAACACCAAATTTCGCAGCTCTGTGAGAATTACTTTATTATCAAACACACACAGTGCTAACATGTAGACACAAGTGACCACAAACACACACAGCTGTGAACAGGAAGTGATGTGGCCGCGTCGACTGAGATAACGGTTGTTAGAGTGTTTGCAGTTATAGCAAAGCGGACTTTGCACCAACAGCCGAAATATTCTAGCTGCAGTCTGACAAAATATTGGTAAGATGGGTTTTTTTACATTTCATTATCACTTTTTGTGATTTTAGCAGCTGCGAGGCTTTACTACGTGCACAAGTGAAAGACATGTCAGGGTGTTCGTCTGTTTTAGGTGTCTGTGCTTCCTCATGCAGGTGTCAATCTTGGCAAGAATCAATTTATTATTTTAATTTAACATTATATAGTGTACCTATTTGACCACCTTCAGAAATGACCTAATATTGACATGATTGCATCACACAGTTGTTGCAGATTTCTCAGCTGCACAATCTCCTGTCTTCCACCACATCTCAAAGGCGCGTTATTGGTTTGAAATTTGGTGACTGTGGAGTACAATGAACATATTGTTAGGTGGCCAAAAGAAACAGGTTGAGATGTTTGGGCTTTGTGGCTTGGCTGGAAACAGGAAACAGAAAATGAGTACACTGTGGTCATAAAGGGATGGACATGGTCAGCAACAATACTCAGGTAGGCTGTGGCACTTAAATGTTGCACAGTTGATACTTAAGGGCCTGAAGTCTTTGCCTTCTTCTGCTGCTGCTTTTTTGGGGTCGGCACAGCAGATCATCTGCCTCCATCTCATCCTAACCCTGCCATCCTCCGTCATGTCTATGCGTGCATGTCCTCCTTTACTACAGCCACAAATCTCCTCTTGATCCTCCTGTTGTATTGCAGCTTTATCTTTAACATCTTTTGTCCAGTAAATCCACCATCCTTCCTCTGCACATGTCCAAACCATCTTAGTCTTGCGTCTCCCACTATGTCGCTAAAACCCTCAACCTGAGCTGTCCCTCTGATGTACTGATTTCTAATCTTGTCCCTTCTGGTTACACGTAATGAAAATCTTTACCTCTGCCTCTGATCTTTTTTTCACTGCCACGCCCTGCAAACCATCATTGCATATTTCATAGAAGGGTTCACTGCCATCTTGTACACCTTCTCTTTCACTCTTGCGCCCATCCTTTTCTCACAAATCAGCCCTGACACTCATCTCCACCCAATCCTCCTTACCTGCACTCTCTCCTCCATCTCTCTTGTGCAGTCCGTTGCTTTGGTTGGATGACCTCAGGTATTAAAATTCATCTACCCTCAACCTGTATCCCTCTCATTCACACACATTTATTCTGTTTCTTCTACTGACTTTCATTCCTCTTTTCTGCAGAGAAAAGCTGTAATTCCACTGTCAGCCTATTGTTGTATAACATATTAATCATCATTGTGATGAAGTTTGTTTTCTGGCATGAACGTAAACCACACATAGGCACGCAGAGCTGGCATGCAACACCTTAAATTAAACGAGAAGCAGCATTGTGCTACTGTTAGCACTGTTTCTTAATCCCACTGTGATGGGTTTCATCTCTTACCTGCAGTGGTGCATGTCACACAAACCGAATATGAAAAGCGTAGGATCGAAGTCAGTAAGAGTAGCTGTAATATCAGCAACGGCCACACAGTGGCAGTGTGTTCATGGTGGAAGGCTTGTTGGGCTTGTGGGAAACGTCTGCTCAGCTTGTGTGTATGTGTGGTGATGACGATGAGTCAGTCTCAACTCAACATATCCCCTTAAATTCCAAATTGCACAAATGTCATTGCACAACATCACTTTTCCTCTTTTCGAAATACAGCTGGCACGCTTTTATTCGTTCCGAGGAAACTTTTAGAAACTGACTGAAGCATGTGAAGAGTGGGGAAGAAAGAGAACGGTCTGGGATTCATCATGAGTGTTATGGCATACTGAGACATGTCAGCCGGAGCTGCTGTGACCCTGTTCCAGCTGCTCCAGGATGTGAAGCTGACATTAAATTTCAAAATTCACACTCTGTGCATGAGTGTGTGTGTGAGAGCAAGTGTTTGTTAAGGCTACGTGGAATGCTGAACAGGTCAAGGCAGGCTGTTGAAGGTGAATCTGCGGGGTGGAAATGTTGCGTGTAGTTGTCTGTACATACATGATTTTTGTCAGCCGTCAAACAGCTTTCAAACCTGAGCTGTACCTTTGCATCTCTAATGGTCATTTTATTTAATAAAAAGAACTCCTAAGAAAGCAATCAGAATTAACTCATGAGAAGTAGTAGGTTGTTCTATAACCAGCACCTTTATAGCTGAGCTGTTAACTTTCTACAAAATGTGCTAATAAACAATAATATAATAAATGAAATAATTGTTTCAAAGGTGTTTTGACACCTCTCCTCGACCTGTGGTTGTGTTGTGCAGATGTTAACACCAAACCAGCTGCACCAGGACACTTTTAGAGGAGATGAAGTTAAATGAATGAGTCACATGAACTCCAAAGTGGTTCATTTATGGTGACACCATGATCCAACCCAGCTACCTGTTGTGCTCTGCAAGTTTGAACTAAACACCTTCCTGTTGTAGCCAGGTATGCTTTCTGGCATGCAGCGGAGTACCGCAGATGTTTAGAGTACACAAACTCTAGGAACTAGCCATAAAATGAGTAAAACTGCCCAGACAAAGATGAATGCTGGTCGGTTCTCTGTCTTATCTACTAGTTCAGAACACAGCACCTTCTTCAAGCCCAGCAGACTGAGTAGGCATGTGCAAGAGTAGCTGCAGATACATAAATAGATCTTTTTAAAATCCTCCAATGAAATAAGAGAACGTAACCTTATATTTGTTTTGTGGGCAGTAAAATATTTAAATTAGGTTTTTTTTACATGTTAAGTGTGATTAAGAGTAACTGCTAATAGTGTGCCCTGCGACCAGACATTTAAGTATTTAAATTTAGGCGCAGGGCAGAGGTAAACAGGCCATATGTGCAGTATAGTCTTCTTTTAGCTAAACACAACCTTCCTGCCTTTTTATACAAGATGTAACGTGAGGGACAAAAGACTCGCCTGTGGCAAAGCGCAGCAGGATCAGGGGGCTTCAAGGCCAACAAAGAAATATGCATGTGATCGCTATACTGCACTTTAGCACATATAAGCACGCAGAGCAAGAAGTCACGCACCCTTCGACTTTATATCTCAGGAAATGCTCTGTGTGAGGGAGCTTCCTTGACAGAGCGTGCATATAGTCAGTTGATGGCTGTGAATGCTGTTTACCGAACCCCGTCCCTTCTCTGATGACATCACAGCTTCATGTTTTGAGAGGTTTGCGCCTGAATATCTGTTGTGGTTTGTGTTCACTGTAGATTAGCCCTTCCTACATAAGCGCTCCCACATAGTGCTGTGATGAATTATTCATAGAGTGACATTTTGCTTTTTCTCAATAGTTTGTTGTTTGTTGCTGGGAAATAATTTCAGTTTACAAAAGCTGTGAAAATAGTATCCGTGCCGACCCGTGTACCCGTGATCAGATATCAGCGCTGGTCCTTACTGCGTTCCAAAGTACAAGAAGTTTGAAGTTTGGCTTTATATTCCTGTCATCGATCATAATAAAGTTTCTTTATGAACAAACAAGACATCTACAAATACTTATTGGCAATATTGACATTTTTTTACTTTAAAGCTCCAACATGAATGCCTTCTTAAGGATTATACAGAAGGCACTCACACTCTGTATGAGTGTATTCTAAGTGTGAGAAAATAAATCTTCCTCTTTTTATCAGCTCTTCATGCCTTTTCTTTTCCAGCTTTTATTTGCTGTACAGAGAGTGCTGAGGCAGAGAGATGTAGGAGGTGAACAGAGACTGCGTTGACAGTGTTGAAAGGTCGAGGACTCTTCTTCTTCTTTTGTCTCCTCCTTCCTGTGATGCATTCCCCCCCTTCTACCTGCTGCAGGAGGGGGAGGGGGAGCATATCTTTTTTGATAGGTGTGTAACCACATAACCACACCTCTGTGTGCTCAAGGGTTTGAGCCCTGGAGGTGTATGTGAGAGACAAGTACTGGAGTGAGACGAGACTCAACAATTCGTACTGGGGACTGAGCGTTTTCAGCCAACGAGAGGTAGGAAGGAAGGAAGGAAGGAAGGAAGAGAGGGAGGGAGAGAGAGAAAGCAAGGCAAAGGGGAGATGAACTCTTTGAGGCTGAAAGAGTTGTCAAACTCAGACTTATACAGGCGAAGGAAGGAAAAACCAGACAATGGAAATGTCAGCGAGAGTTTGGCTTGGGACAGCTACAGGTGGGTGCAAACTGTCACATTTACGGTGAGAAATAACGATTTATGCACACAATTTTCTTGTGTCATTGTGTGTGTTGTATTGGCCGACATCTCAATGCGATCGTCAGTCTGTAGCACTCAGTCTTTAGGAAGTGTGGTCTACACAGGGCGTTGAGCCCACTTTGGTTTTCACACATGTAAATGGTTTTTAATGGCTCAACAATGACACTTAGCATTTCAAATAAGAAACCATTAAAAGTGTGCAGGTTCTTCAAAGGTCATGTCAAGTACTGCAGTGTGCTTACAGAAGTGTTAACTTCTTCAAATCTGTTTTTGAAGTCTTTGTTCGATGTTTCTTTTAGGGTTTAATCTCAGTTCACAAACATTGATTTTTAGTGTGGGGTCCAAGTGTTGTCAAACTTATCAGCTTCCTTATCATCAGCACTGACTTGCAGTCTCACATGAAATAGCAAATGTGGTGTGTGGTATACTTCAGATACTTATCTTTACTACAGGCTCTTTGAAGAAAACTACTTACCGATGTGTTGCGTATTAGCGTGGATGGATAAGGTGATATTTTCTGTGGTGTTTGAACAGTAAGTATTGTGGTTGATGGTTGAATTCCTGTGAGTTATGTGAGCAGCAGCAACAACAGATGTGTACATGTACAGAGTTTTGTAATATTGGTTTTTATAATATGATAACATCAGTTTTGGATGTCTGTTGGTTTCTTTTTGTCAGACGCCTCTCTCTCTGTCTCTTGCGCTGTCGCTCTCCTCTGATGTGTGTTTCTGCGAGTGTGTGTGAGATGCTGAGTCGTATGTGGAATGCAAAAATGTCAGGAATGCGGACAGAAAGAGGGCTCTCTTCAGAGGTGTGTTGAGCCTAACCAAAAAAAAAAAAAACTCCGTCCTCGCCCTGTAACCCTGAAAAAGGGTTTGAGGAGCAGGCGGAGCAATTAACATTTAAACAACTAAATTAAAATCAAACCTTTGGTGAGGCAATAACATCCGACTCAGCAGGGCCGCTGTGTTTAACAGGTATTCAAATGCAGTGTCACAGACAGCTTATATGAATATAGTGCATAAAAATAACAAATTAATTAAATATCCCTGTGACAGTTGTGACTGTGCAGTGTTTGTATTTATCTAGAATTACATTTAGGCAGCATCAATAAATGATAAGACTGCTTTAAACTACAGAAGTCAGAAAACGGAGGTGAGAAAGACAGTGGGCATTTATTTACTCTTGTATTTCTGATCCACTCTGTCATGTGAGACGCAACTCAACTGTTCCGATACTCCTGACACAGAAAGGATCACTAAGGGTTTTCACTTAGGCAGCGGTTGTCCTTCTCTCCGGCATCGGCTGGAGCTTTCTTTAGGTGCCTTCCCATCTTTAACAAACATCCAGCAGGGATGACTACATTTACCCAGGGCCCTGTTTATGTGATGTTTTTCTGCTTCCCTGGCCGCTCTGTCTGTGGAGATGGTGTTTGCTCTGTGTTGTAGCGACCTGATGACACCCAGTTTGTGATTCAAACATTAAATACTGGTTCGCATGCATTGGTTTATAGTACACATTAGCTTTTAAATGTCCCCCATTACTGATGGAAATCTCACAGGCTAAGAAGGGTAACCTGCGACTTTTCATATACTCCCTGGCGAATTTGATGTGTTAGTCCACCAAGTTAATGTAATCAGTGAACTGTGGTACTGTATGTCCTGAGATTTGATTTTCACCCAGGTGTCCTCCACATATCTGAACCAATGAGTTGGTGGTGTTCCAGGGTAGGATAACAAAGTCCTCTTTTCCACTTCTTCCATGTACAAGTTGGCCACAATGGGTGAACCTGGGGAACCCATGGCACACCAATTTTTCTGCCTTTATTACTGAAACAGGTGGAATGAAGACTGGTTGTCGTTTCAGGGGCTCATTAGCATTTTTGTCACCCTTGACTGCCAGAAGGATGATAATGTTGTTGTCATTACTAAGTGATGTGAGTGCCTTCCTCTCCTCCATGTTGATGTTGGATGCTGGGGGCTTTGCGTTGCTGAGACAGGCCGAAACCTTAGTCCGTAGTTGCTCTTCTTCCACGTCTGCAATGTTGTTGTTTTGAATCGCTGTTTCTGTGGCTGTGATCAGTTCCACTAGCAGGATTTGTCTCGGCGTCACAGCAAAGTTCAACCCTTTAGCAAGGATGTTTTTCTCTGCTTGGATGAGTTGTCTGTCAGACAAATTTTTCACCCATTTGTTCACATCCTCAGCGTGGCATCCTTCTAAGCTTACGCACAGCTCATGCATCAGTCATATTCCTCTAGAAGCAGGCTTGAAATATGACACAAACTGCACAGTTCAAGTAAGAGGAACATGGGCTATTCCTAGCAGACGTCCAAGGGGGAAAGAGATAATATTTATATTTCAGAGAGAAATATAACCAAAGAAACAGTGCTACAGGATTTAACAGTGGCAGGTTATTAGGCTATTTTTGGTGCCAGACTTGTCCGATAAATTTTCAGCAGAACCGAAATGAAGCAGATGCTGTAAGTAAAGCTGATAATAGAGAACCTTAACAAGCAAATCAGAAGAGCAAAATGAATCATTAAAAACACAAAGAAGGAAACACTTATCAAACTGATTAAATGTTTGGGTGGAAACAGTTTTTATTTGATTGCCTAATCATTTGTTTATATAGGTATAAATCCTATGACAATTCATGTACTGTTGACTATCCGTGTGAGGGAATAATAGTTAATATCACAAAAAAGGTTCTGCTTGAAGAACAGTAAATAGTAGTCTAATTTGAGTTTTTTGAGTGTGTGCATAACCTCTTACTTCACTATTGGTTGTGTGGTTTGGCTACAGGGGTGGCCACATTTTAATCTCTGTTGTCAGTGGCCATGGCCACCCCTTACCTCCGGCCCTGCAGTTAGATCCGCCTACACACTTCCACTTGTCGTCATCAGAATTAGGTGGAGCAGTTGCAATGTTGACAAAGAAAACAAACACCGCAATTTCAAAGATTAGATTACATTTACATTTTCCAAACCAAAAAAACATCCATAACTATGTAAAAATGATTTATTCGTTACATGTAATGATCAGTTGATTCATATTTATTGGGGATGGGGTGATGTTAAATAATCTTTAAACGAAGATGAAGATTGCAACTTGCTAGTAACTCTGCACTAATAACAAAGAGCATGTGACATGTTGCTGTTATGCTTTGTGTGTTTTTCCTGTCCTGGGCAGTTAAATGGGATTGAACATTTGATAGTGGAGGTCAAAGTGGCCCTCAGGACAAAACGCCCAAAACAAAGGAAATGTTAGTCATGAATTATGTTTGCACACTCATCGAATCACTCAGTTTTACATGTTTGTGTGCACTTCTATGCTTGTGCTGGTGTGTGTACACTTGACTTGGTGCCAAAGGTTTTGCTCAAAGAGACGTCAGGTCTGTGTTTCCATGGCTGCTGTTGACACTGCGAGTATGTTACAGGTGGTGTGTTAGATTAGTTTCTTTGGTCTGAGACTCCTTGTGTTGCATCAGCTGAGAGGAATCAGAACTGCTGCTGATTCCAGTTTTAAAGCGAGCCTGCAGAAAGAGGCCAATTAAGCCTAGAGTAATATACATTTAAACATAAATGTTCTGTATTATATTGTATGAATAAATGACCTGCTTTGTTATTATATATACATAAAAACAACAAAACTGGTTTGGTTCCATCTTAAGTTTAAAAACCAAATAGAATAGAATTGGATGCCCTGAAGGAAGAAGGCAGTGTGGACAATGTTCTGCTGAGAAAACATGGGTCCTGCCATCTATCTGGATGTTAGTTTGACACGTACCACAAACCTAAGCAATGCTGCAAATCCAATAGTGGATCCGACCCGTTGGAGTACTCCCTGATGGCTATAGCCTCTTTCAACAGGGTGACACGCCCTACTACAAAGCAGAAATGTTTCAGGAATGGTTTGAGGAGCACAACAATGAGTTTGAGGTTGTTGACTTAGCCTCCAAATTCTCCAGATCTCAATCCAATCAAGTATTTGTTGACTGTGTAGGTCAAACAAGTCAGATCTATGAAGGCCCTACGTCACTGATCAGTGCTGTTAAAATCTTGGTGCTAGGCAGTGTGGACACACCTTCAGGGGTCTCGTGAACTCCAGGTCAGAGTTCTTTTGGCAGCAAAAGGGGGACCAACACAATATTAAGCAGATCTTCATAATGTTATGCCTGATCGGTGTATGCTCCCGAACTCTGCTGAAGCTCTGCCGTGTTTATTTGCTCATTTGAAAAATAGAGGACCTGTATTTGTGTTTTTAGGATAAGCTAGTCAAAAAAGTGCACATCTAAACATCAGCTCCTTTGTAATCAATGGATGCTTATCATGAGTGCCAAGGGCTCGGACAGTGATAGAGTCTATAAAGGGATCAAATGTTGGTTCAGCACATCTAATGTTCCTTTTGTAAAAAAAAAAAAAAAAAAGAAAAAAGAAAGGAAAAGGTCTCAAATATTGCACACAGAAATCATAAAGAAAAAATCTGTTATCCTTTTTCTGTCTAATGTCTAAATATGCTCCACAGTTGGAGACAAGCCCAGGTCATTTGATTGGAACCTGACCTGTGAACCCTCCAGTGATTCCCCCTCTCCAGACTTTTATTAGCACTGGTCATTTATAGCACTCTTTCAAGCTAATGCTGGACACACTATCCCGAGTGTCCCATGTTCTGATTTTGGTTGAGGATTAAGATAAAGTACATGATTTTTTTGTGGCAAACAATTCAAACCACAAAACAATATATAGATGACATAATTCAGAACACTGCAAAACTACTTTTTCGGTGCTTTCGCCCTGGCATGATGATGTTGACACTGTACCACACTCATTGACCCTTAATTTAAGTGAAAGCTGTTGCTAATGTTAGCTTAAAACTAGATTATATAATTTTTTGATGTTTTATTATTCACTTTATGTTATGCAGCCGATGCTGACACGGATATTTGTTCAGTTAAAAAT